TGTGTGTGTGTGTGTGTGTGTGTGTGTCCTTATGAACAAAAGCCCATCCCTTAGGGAGGCAGCTTCAGACTCAGGAAGCCAGGGGTGTGTGTTTGTGTGTGGTGTGTGTGTGTGTGTGTCCTTAGGCACCTGTTCCTGGACCCTTGTGTGTGTGTGTGTGTGTGTGTGCTTGTGTGTGTGAGAAAGCATCCTTAGTCACCTGTTCCTGGACCCTTGTGTGTGTGTGTGTGTGTGTTTGTGTGTGTGAGAAAGCGTCCTTAGGCACCTGTTCCTGGACCCTTGGAGCACAGGGACTGGCAGGTGATGATGAGGGGTCCCAGCAAGAGAAAGGGGCCCCAGGACAACCTCCAGACGCAAGGAACTGCAGGCAGCTACGTTCTCCAGGGAAGGTGTCCTGGCCGAGCCCGGGGCACTGACTCAGAATGCTGGCCTATGTTCTAAGAGGGAAGACGGGCGAGCGGCGGGCATGTGGTCCCTCCTGCCCACCTGTGCTCCCTCCCTAGACATTCACGTTGAAGGAGGACCAGGTGTTGCAGCAGAACCCGCCCAAGTTCGACAAGATCGAGGACATGGCCATGCTGACCTTTCTCCACGAGCCGGCTGTGCTCTACAACCTCAAGGAGCGCTACGCCGCCTGGATGATCTATGTGAGTGGGCCCTGCACCCGCAGGGGGTCTCCGCAGCCCCCCTTGGTCCAGGAGACCCTCTGGGGAGGACAGGTTTCTCACAGGACTTGAGACGTGACTGACCGAACACTAAGTAGGCAGAGGCAGGTCCCAGATGAGAAAGGACATTTCATCCCCCACCTCTGAGCCCTGGGGTTTGATCTGCCCTCCCCTCTTCCCCGTCCCCAAGCAGCCACAGGAAGAAAAGTTCACACGGAGGCGTTCAGAGTCCCCTGCCTGCCACCATTGGTTTTCCTGGGACCTCCCCCACCAATCTTTCATGCCTGGCCCTGTCTTTTTCTGCTCCAGACCTACTCCGGCCTCTTCTGTGTCACCGTCAACCCCTACAAGTGGCTGCCGGTGTACAACGCGGAAGTGGTGGCCGCCTACCGGGGCAAGAAGAGGAGCGAGGCCCCGCCGCACATCTTCTCCATCTCCGACAACGCCTATCAGTACATGCTGACAGGTGAGGAACCCTGCCCCCACCGTCAGCCCTGACCTGCATCCCAGCAGCCACCTGGGCCCTCGGCCCTGACCTCGCTGCCTCTCCTCTTTTCTCTTCCAGACAGGGAGAATCAGTCCATCCTTATCACGTGAGTGAGCCCTGCCCACCCACCAAGGGCATAGGGTTGGGTGAATGGAGGCTGGCTCCAGGGTAGGAAGGAAAGGGGCACGTGATGGGGATGGTGGGGGGCATTCCAAAGAATGCCAGGCTCAGCTGGAAAGAGAGAGCAGTGGGGTGCCCGAGTTTGGGTTGGTTTCTGTCGCCTCCAGCGGAGAATCCGGAGCTGGGAAGACCGTGAACACGAAACGTGTGATTCAGTACTTTGCCAGCATCGCGGCCATAGGAGACCGTGGCAAGAAGGACAGTGCCAATGCAAACAAGGTGCCCAGCAGAAAGAGGGCCCAGGCCTGGCTGACTCCCCAGCCCTGCCCCTGGGGGAAGCAGCATGCGCAGTGCTCCGGAAGATCAGCCCAGTGCTGACGAGCCTCCTGGCAGGAGACGCCCTCTGGGGACCCTGCAATAGCTCTTTCTGTGCAGGCCCACCTCAGCTCATCACCTCCCCTTCCACCCCCCCACCCCCCCACCCCCGAGGGCTGGCCTCCTCACTCCCGGCTGCACGTGGGGTGAGGGATGAGCCCTGCTCTTCTGCTCCCCGCACAGGGCACCCTGGAGGACCAGATCATCCAGGCCAACCCCGCCCTGGAGGCCTTCGGCAACGCCAAGACCGTGCGGAACGACAACTCCTCCCGCTTCGTGAGTGCCCTTGACCAGCTGCCAGGTGGCCTCCTCTGGCCTCTACGAAAGCAGGGGGCTGCTCGGCCAACATTCTGCACCACACCCTGCCGATTGCATTGCGTTTGGTTTGGGTGGGGGGAGGGTGTCAGCACAAGCACACACACACACACACACACCCTCCAAACCCTCCCCACTCCGTCTGGCGTGAACAAAAAAGAGGGGAGTCCTCCCCACTGCTGCAGCACCAAGCGGCGGAGCCAACGTCGACCACAGCTTAGATTTTCCTTGTGACCGTCTCCAAAGCTCTTCCGCAGCCCAAGTGGGAAAAGAGCACACAGGCTTTGGAGCTAAATCCCAGACTTCCCACTTGCTCAGAGTCTCCATACCTGCACATGTCTTTACCTACGGAACAGGGACCAGACTAGCTACCTCAAAGGCTGTTAGGAGAATGATCAGAGATGAAAACAGAGGCCCCCAGAGGAGGTATTCGGTGCATGCCGATTCCCATGTGTGGTTTCCACCCACTGGGGAGAGTGGCTGGACACCCTTCCCCCTGAGACATCCACAACAGTACCAGAACCATCCGAGCCATTCTGAGCCGAGTGCAGGAAGCCGGTGTCTCCGTTGTTCTGGCCAATTGCTTCCTTCTTGGTCCTGTCCACCCCCAGGGGAAATTCATCAGGATCCACTTTGGGGCCACTGGAAAGCTGGCTTCTGCGGACATAGAGACCTGTGAGTTTTGAGAAGGGGGCCCTGCAGTGTCCCTCCCTGGGCCCTCCACCCCTGCCTCTGTCCCAGCTTGCCAGCCCTGTCCATCTCTCCCTCCACCTTTTCCCCTTGTCTCTGTTTGTCTTTTGGCTTTAGCATCTCTCTCTCTCTCTCTCATATCGTTTCTCTGGCCTCTCTTACAGTAGGATGTTTTCTCTCCTGTTCTCCACCATGGATGGATGGAGAACCTGACCCACCTTCTGCCTCTCTCCTTCCCCTCAGATCTCCTGGAGAAATCCCGGGTGATCTTCCAGCTGAAGGCTGAGAGGAATTACCACATCTTCTACCAGATCCTGTCCAACAAGAAACCGGAGCTGCTGGGTAAGCCCCGCCGGAGGCTCCTCCTGGCCCCACCGCCCTCCTCTGTGGCCCGCTCTATCTTCAAGCCCGCTTTTCCCTTCTGCCTGGGTCGTCTGCATGCTCGCCGGTCTCCTCACTGCATGCTCCCGCAACCCGCTCCTTCTCTGGTCACCTCTTTCCACGTTTCCCTCAACCTCTTGCTTCCCCTCTCGCTTGTCAGTTCTCTGCTTCTCCCCTTTGATTGCCTCCCCATTTCCCCACTTATTCGCCTACTCCCACCCCGCCCCACCCCCTGCCCACCCGCCCTGGACCTCCTCCTCCTCGCTCATTCTCTCCAGGACCTTGCTGACCCGTCTCTTCTCATCCTGCTCTCTCTCCTCCCCTCCTCATTCTACCCCACCCGTGTCCCTACTGCGCCCTTCTCCCCACCCCTCTCTGCCCACCCGTGGCCCTCTGCCCCCCTGCCTTCCCCTCCCCCCACCCGCCCTTATGAACCCTTGATAATTTATAAATTATCTTTTTCATGTCTTACACCCACCACAGGCTTCTCAGGCCTCAGCTCACACCTTCCCTCAATACAAGAACACTTTATTCTAACAAATTGGCATTCTCCCCTGCCTTCCCCTCCCCCCACCCGCCCCTTGCCTGGAGCAGACATGCTGCTGGTCACCAACAACCCCTACGACTACGCCTTTGTGTCCCAGGGAGAGGTGTCCGTGGCCTCCATTGATGACTCCGAGGAGCTCATGGCCACCGATGTGAGTCAAGAGAGCCAGTCCGGGGAGCAGAGGGCCCCTCGGGGCTCCGGGAGCTGCTCCCCGCAACTGCCCTCTGCTCTCTCACTCCACCCCAGAGTGCCTTCGATGTGCTGGGCTTCACCCAGGAGGAGAAGGCCGGCGTCTACAAGCTGACGGGGGCCATCATGCACTACGGGAACATGAAGTTCAAGCAGAAGCAGCGGGAGGAGCAGGCCGAGCCTGACGGCACGGAAGGTAGCCGGGCGCCGTCGGAGCCCAACATTGCGGGAGTGACCGGGATAGAGCAGGGTCTTTCGTGCCGTGTCCAGAAACGGGCTCCTTGCCTCTCGCCAATTCTCAAGGAACGAGGTTGACACCGGGGTTATTCGGACCGTGAGAGAGTAGGCAGAATCCAGAAGTAATATGAGACCAGGATCCCTAGGGAGCAGAAGCGGAGACCGTAAACTCACTGCCATCACGTCAATTCCAACTCTTCGTGACACCCTAGGGTTGTGCCTTTTTCCGAGGGTAGGCTCTACCCCCACCCCACATGCCTACCTGCCCCGTCTCCAGCTTTCTCCTCAGTTAGAACCAGACCAGGCCTCTGACTCCCACCCTCCCAGACACACTGTCCCCACAGAGGCCTGAGGCTGGAGTGTAGATGGGGGAGAATGAGAAATAGGAGGGCGAGACAAGGGAGAGATGGGCAGGCAAGAAGGCAAGAAGGCCTCCCACAATCCCACAATCCCACAATCTCCAAGCCCGGGTGCACAAATCAGAAGGGAGTGGGGGCTTTTGTTTTCATTCTGTGACTAAACTTCACCTACCCCAGGAAGCACCTGCAGCGGGTGTCCTGCCCAGGTCTCAGGGGAGCCCCATGGTGCTCTGTGACATGCTTTGTCTGGGCGGAGGCGGCAAACCAGAATTCAGGGTGCAGTCCGGGCCATTGGCCTATCCACCCCTCAGTGAAATGGAGCGACTGCCCTTTCCAACTCCTCCCGGGGCTTCTGTGACAAACTTTTTCTTTCCTTCAATTAAAAGATCATTTTATTGGGGGCTCTTACAGCCCCTACAAGAAGCTACACATCAGTTGTATCAAGCACATTTGGACATATGTTGCCATCATCATTTTCTAAACACTTACTTTTACCTGAGCCCGTGAAAAACTTTTAAGATGGAGTTGTGACGAGGCTAACAGGACTAGACAGACACCTGAGATCATTCCTTCTGGTCTCCCTCAGAAAGCCTTGCTCCGCGTCTGTCTGATCAAAATGCCACGCCTACGATCAAAGATAGCATATCCACCCAGTATCACAAATTCTAGCTATCAAATAAAATAAAGGCCCCGAACTAGAGAGCCTCTGTATGTTGGGGAGTGCTTTTGGAGGCCTGGGTGCGTGAGGGGTGAGGGGTGAGGGAGGCATCCAAGGAGCCCAGGTAAACTGGTGGACGGGTCGATCAAAAGGGCAGCCTGCTCAGGGCTGGACTAGACACTGGGAGATGAGACCATGTAATTCTGTGTGCTACGAGCCTTTCCGGGAGAGACGGAGGAGGGTGAGGGCCGTGATGACAGCAAGGTCGTGGAAGATCGGACCCTGAGACAGCCGCCAGACATGATGAGGCGAGAGGATCGCCCTGTGGTGAGAGGCCCGGCTCAGGACAAAGGGGCCTAGGTTTCCGCCTGACCGAGCATTGGTGACGTGCACTCCAGGGCCCTGGGCAAATCCTTTCCTCTTCTGGGTCTTGGCGTCCTCCTTCAAGAGAAGAGGCTGAGCGGATGCTTCCCAAAGGTTTGGGAGGTGCTCACCCCCTCCCCTCCTGCTCACCTAGATGCCGACAAGTCTGCCTACCTCATGGGGCTGAACTCAGCCGACCTGCTCAAGGGGCTGTGCCACCCTCGGGTGAAAGTGGGCAACGAGTACGTCACCAAGGGGCAGAGCGTGCAGCAGGTGTACTACTCCATCGGGGCGCTGGCCAAGTCCGTGTACGAGAAGATGTTCAACTGGATGGTGGTTCGGATCAACGCCACGCTGGAGACCAAGCAGCCTCGCCAGTACTTCATCGGCGTTCTCGACATCGCTGGCTTCGAGATCTTCGATGTGAGTCTGGGGAGCCTTCAGGCTGGGGGGACACAGGAGCCGGGGACCGTGGGGGGTCAGCCCCACCAAGGCAGTGGGGGTCTTCCCTGACAGCAGGGACCAGAGGCGCCCCTGCTCCCTCTGGCCCTGAGATGGGAAGGGCCCAGCTGTGTGTCTGGCCGGTCACGCCACCCCACCCCGCTGCTTGCCTGACCGGCTCCCATCCCCTCGCCCCCCCGCAGTTCAACAGCTTCGAGCAGCTGTGCATCAACTTCACCAACGAGAAGCTACAGCAGTTCTTCAACCACCACATGTTCGTGCTGGAGCAGGAGGAGTACAAGAAGGAGGGCATCGAGTGGGAGTTCATCGACTTCGGCATGGACCTGCAGGCCTGCATCGACCTCATCGAGAAGGTGCCGCCTGGACACGCCCCCTACGCCGCCGCCCCCGCCATCCTAGACAATGCGGCAGCCCGCTCCCCAGTGAACTTAGGAAACGAGGCTCCCTAGAGCCCTAAGTCTCCTTCAGGCCTGTCTTAGAGGACATCTCATCGTTGCAACATCATGGTCATACACGGCAGCACGAATCCCTTCCCCTCTCCCCAGGATCTAGCACCCAGTCTCTCCCCGCAGAGAATGTGAGGGATGCCAGTGTTTGATGTGGTAAAGGAGAGGACTCTGGGCTCGCTGGCAGCCCCTAGGAACATCGTTCTTGGGAAAGATCCCACAGAAACTAGGGGTGTTTGGTTTCCATCCCTTCCCGAAGGAGTACCTTTCTCCTGGGTGACGGAGCAGAGGAGGTTGCCTCCAGCTCCCCTGGTCGGTAGGCATTCCTCAGGAGAGACAGGTGGGCTCCTTCGGGGCTGCTCTCCCTTGTGCCAGAGCTGACCTAACTCACAGTCTCCGTTGTTCTCGGCCAGTACGGGCCAGGGGCCTGAGTAACTCACCCTCACCCAGCTCAGGCACTGCCCTGAGACAGGAGTCTGCTCGCCAGCTTCGATTCGGTACCAAGGGATTCTCCCAGGGTGCCGGTCTCCCAGAGACCCTACACTCATCTGAAACCCTCTGGAAAAGAGTGTGTGTGCCTGTGCATGTAGGTACCGTATTTTTGAAAGGGAGACCCACCCACCGTCTTTAGTGTCATCAAATTATCAAGAGAATTCCTGCCCCCAAAAGGGTCAAGAAAAGCCACATGTTCCGTGGTGTGTTTTGTGCCGTTGACAGCGCCTCGACCCTCTAATTAGTCCCTGAAGAACTGTCACCACTGTTGTAATAGACAGTGATCTGACCCTGCAGTCTGGTGTCTCTGACACACTCCTCACCCTGTTGGCACCCCCATCCTGGGCAGGGAAAGGGGGCTGGGTAGTGAGCCTACACTGGGTCCGCTGGGCATAAGCTGGACCTGAATGCAGTTGGGTTTCCGTTCACTCCAGGAATGTTGACTTCCTGTCTTGGGCGAAGAGGGATGGGCAGAGGTTCCCAGCAATGCTGGGTGGTAGAGTCTTTCCTGGGACCCGGTGTGGGACTCCGTGAGAGCCCGAGAATGCCACTCAGTGAGGCTGTCTCTACCTTCTGCACCTTCCCTCAGCCCATGGGCATCATGTCCATCCTGGAGGAGGAGTGCATGTTCCCCAAGGCGACGGACATGACCTTCAAGGCCAAGCTGTACGACAACCACCTGGGCAAGTCCAACAACTTCCAGAAGCCACGCAACATCAAGGGGAAGCCGGAAGCCCACTTCTCCTTGGTGCACTACGCGGGCACCGTGGACTACAACATCCTGGGCTGGTTGGAGAAGAATAAAGACCCTCTCAACGAGACGGTGGTGGGCTTGTACCAGAAGTCCTCCCTCAAGCTCATGGCCACACTCTTTTCCTCTTACGCCAGTGCTGATTCTGGTAAGGGGCCGCCCCTGCACTAGGGAAGAGGTTTCTGAAGGCACCAGGGCTCAGGGTCCAGCTGGTTCGAAGCACATCTTGACACAGGAGAGCTTGTGGGCCATGGGATAGGCGTCAGGAGATCCCACAGTCCATCTGTACCTCTGTGGCCCCTGGCACAAGTTCAGTTTTGTATTATGGATATTGACGTTGACGTCTTGTGTGTCCACAAGGCTGGGAAGCTGGAGGCCATCATAGAGTGGCCCACACCGGAGGACTCAGTGAGCAGTGGGAGAGTCACTGAGAGGGTCGATATCGAGCAAATGAGCCTTCTGTTTGGAGAAGGAAGCAAAAGGTCATGTGCTGACATGAGGAAGTGGGAGTGCAAGAGAAGGAAGGGAAGGTGGGGGATCTAAGAGCGAGGTCTGAGATAGGGGCGCTGGTTCAATGACTACTCTTCAGGGAGCACCGGCGGTGGGTGGACGGGGGAGGATCTGTCTTCCACACGCATGCTCTTATTTAGCCCTCACTACAGCTTCTAGAGGGTTCTCTCCTATCTATTACAACTTCCTATCATCCTCATGCAAAAACAGAGGCTCGGAGAATAAGTCGTCCAGGGTCACAGGGCCAGGGGGTGGCTGTGCCCAGATCCCTGTCGAGGCCTCCCTCAGATGCAAGACATTCGGTCACTGCTCCTTCTCTTGTTCCCAGCAGAGGGTGGGAAAGGCAAAGGAGGCAAGAAAAAGGGTTCATCCTTTCAAACCGTGTCAGCCCTCCACCGGGTAAGAAGGACCCCCAATGCCAGAACCCCCGTAGCTGGGGGCTGGGAGAGCGGGGGGAGGGCTAACCCAGAGCCTGTGGGGTGCGTCATCCTCATCTGAGTTTGGGCGGCGGGGGTGGGTGGGGGGAGAAGTTAGAATGACACGGTCATTGGGCGCGTGGGCATCCGGCACAAGCCTGAACTTCCCATCCTCCATTGAATCAGCTCCCTGTTTCTTTAAGGGCTCTGGTCCCTCCCGCAGGAATGGGCCTTCTGACTCCTAACTCCCTGCCCCGCACCCCCCAGGAGAACCTGAACAAGCTGATGGCTAACTTGAAGACAACCCACCCTCACTTTGTGCGCTGCCTCATCCCCAATGAGCGGAAGGCTCCTGGTGAGTGGGGGGAAGGGTTAACCCCGGGGAAGATGCCCGGCCTTCACTTGGCCTAAGGCTGACCTCTCCCCACTCCCTGCCGCCACAGGGGTGATGGACAACCCCCTGGTCATGCACCAGCTGCGCTGCAACGGTGTGCTGGAGGGCATCCGCATCTGCAGGAAGGGCTTCCCCAACCGCATCCTCTATGGGGACTTCCGGCAGAGGTGGGTATAGGTGGTGGTGGTGGTGGGGGTGCACCCCACGCGCTTGGGAGCCCGGGCAGCCTGAGTGGAGAGAGAAGTCTGCGGGTGGCCCTGGGGTTCTGTGGCAGGGCGGAGGTGACGCCAGACACTGCTCTCCCCAGGTACCGCATCCTGAACCCGGCGGCCATCCCGGAGGGGCAGTTCATTGATAGCAGGAAAGGCGCTGAGAAGCTGCTGGGCTCCCTGGACATCGATCACAACCAGTACAAGTTCGGCCACACCAAGGTGAGTGTGGAGCCCAGCCAGGTGTGGGGCCACATTGAGGGGAGCAGCTGGGTGTTCAGGAGGGAAACTCCAGGTTCCTGCTTTCCTGAACCAACCCAAGGACTAGACCTTAGGCTTCCTGTCTGTCTTGTGGTCCGTGCTGTGAACAGCTTATGTGGATCGTTGGTCCCCTGGGAGCTCGGCCACCCACGGACTCCTGCCCTCTTTCTCAGACACGAATGCTTCCTTGGGTCTACCCCTTGCCCGCAGGTGTTCTTCAAGGCTGGGCTGCTGGGGCTGCTGGAGGAGATGCGGGACGAGAGGCTGGGGCGGATCATCACGCGAATCCAGGCCCAGTCCCGGGGCCAGCTGATGCGGATTGAGTTCAAGAAGATTGTGGAGAGGAGGTGAGGCGGGAGGGGACGTATGGGAGAGGCTCCGGAGCAGCCAGGGGCTGGCAAACGGTGACAGCTCTTATGCCACTTTATCTCCAGCCACTTTACCACTCTGTTTCTCTGCGTGGCTTCTTTGTCAGAACGGACATTCCCATACAGATTGAAACTCCAGTGAGAGACCATTTGAAAACACGGCATTGATCAAAAATATATATATATTAAGACGTCTCTCCCAGGGACTGTGGCTATGCAAATGAGTGCCACCTCTTTGGAAAAGGATGGGCCAGTGTCTTTGGAAGTTGACTGTTTACACGCCCTCCCAGCCACAGAGAGCCGTTCACGTGTGACCAGGACACACGGCAGAGTCTTCTTAGGAGCGTTGCCCTGAATAGCAACCCTCATCAACAAAGGAGTAACGAAAGCGTGGTCTGCTCTCTGAGTGGGAGGTTAGAAACCACCAAGGAGGCAGTCAGGACAATGGCGTGATCCAGGCGGTGCCTGACTTACGAATGAGTTCTGCCCTGATGCCTCCATCATTCATTGGTGCTGATTAGTATTGTCTTTGACTATCAGTATCTTTATACCTGACCTTTTGTTTGTCCTGGGGGTTGGACGCACGACACACAAACATCTGTAAGTGAACCTTGCACATAAACTTCTGTATGTGAACACCTGGGAATGATGACATCAGCAAACCTCATGCTATACTACCGTACGCAGTCAAGAGACACAATGGTTCGAAGCGCAGTGTGTTCATTCCCGGCATGGTAGCTTTTGACCTGAAGGCAGGCTGTTGCGTTAGAAAAAAGTGCATCACAGAATGATACGTACAGCATGCTGCCCTTTTCATTGAGCTCAAAAAGAAGGAAAGCCAACAATACCTTGTTTAAAGGTAGGCAACATGTGGTGAAAATATTGTGTTGAAAACAATAGAAGAGAAAAAATAGGATTTAGAGCAATGCTACTTCTAACGGGAGACGCAGGAATAGGATCAGGAGGTAGGAGGTGTACAGCGGTCGGCTCCAAAGCTGTCGATGTGTAATCACTGTTTAGAGTGGTGGGTTCACAGGCATTCATTTTATTGTTACACTTCTTTATTTATAGGTCTTCAGGAGAGCTGAGCTACTCATATTTATAAACAATCACATAACTAACGTGTTTGATGTTTTCATGAGGATAGAAACACTAATCATAAGTAGACACGATGTAAATGGTAGCTTCTACTCCTACATAGCCCCAATAATGATTGATCAATTAATGAATATCTACTGAGCACCTCCTTGCTCCTGCGGTGACATGTGGGGACAAGCGGGTAAGCAGATCAAGACTAGACAGCAGGGCTTCTTGTTCTCAGATGACTCCAGGTTTCCCAGATGGGCAGGATGGTGAATCCAGTTGGTTCCAGAATTGGAGGTGTTCTTTCCTAATGACGCCCCCTGCTCCCCTGTTTCCTTGTCAGAGACGCCCTGCTGATAATCCAGTGGAACATCCGGGCCTTCATGGGGGTCAAGAACTGGCCCTGGATGAAGCTCTACTTCAAGATCAAGCCCCTGCTGAAGAGCGCAGAGACGGAGAAGGAGATGGCCAACATGAAGGAGGAGTTTGGGCGCATCAAAGAGGCGCTGGAGAAATCGGAGGCCCGCCGCAAGGAGCTGGAGGAGAAGATGGTGTCCCTGCTGCAGGAGAAGAATGACCTGCAGTTGCAAGTGCAGGCGGTGAGGCCCCGAGATCGTCGCCTCATCCCTCCCCTGCACCCTCCCTAGAGGAGAGCCCATCCCACCACCAGAGCCTATGAGTCTAGGAGCTACATTCGTGTGTGAAGACCCCGGGTCTCTCTCCTCTCACCCGCTCTCCTCTCCGCCCTCTTCCCCCAGGAACAAGACAACCTCAATGATGCGGAGGAGCGCTGCGACCAGCTGATCAAGAACAAGATCCAGCTGGAGGCCAAGGTGAAGGAGATGACGGAGAGGCTGGAGGACGAGGAGGAGATGAACGCGGAGCTCACAGCCAAGAAGCGCAAGCTGGAGGACGAGTGCTCGGAGCTCAAGAAGGACATTGATGACCTGGAGCTGACCCTGGCCAAAGTGGAGAAGGAGAAGCATGCCACGGAAAACAAGGTGAGGGCTGCCCCGCCCGCTCCCGCTGGGGGCTTCCACAGGGTTCCCAAACCACGCTGCCCGGACCACTCCGGGGACCCTGAGAGAAGCCTTGGTCCTTGGCTTGGGAGGTCCCCGTACATATCTCCAGACTGATGACCTACTGAGAATGGGGGTCTCGCCTGGCAGGTGAAGAACCTGACAGAGGAGATGGCTGGGTTGGATGAGATCATCGCCAAGCTGACCAAGGAGAAGAAAGCTCTGCAAGAGGCCCACCAGCAGGCCCTGGATGACCTTCAGGCAGAAGAGGACAAGGTCAACACCCTGGCCAAGTCTAAGGTCAAGCTGGAGCAGCAGGTGGATGATGTGAGTAGTAAGAACCAGCCCATCACCATGTTACCCCAGGTCAGGCCTTTAGGGGCAAGACCATGCCTGAAACTTAGAAGTCACGTCTCAGAGCCCCGGAACCTTTCTGCTCTCTACAGCCCCTCACGATGCTGGGTCTCTGAATCATTTGTGCTCCCAGAGATTTCTCTGCCAGCCTGACTTTTCATTTCCCTGGACTTCCGGGTTAGAAGGGAGCAGAGAAGCATGTACCATGGGTCTCAGGTGTTCCACGCCCTGCCCCTTTGTGCTCTCCCTCAGCTGGAGGGATCCCTGGAGCAGGAGAAGAAGGTGCGCATGGACCTGGAGCGGGCGAAGCGGAAGCTGGAGGGCGACCTGAAGCTGACGCAGGAGAGCATCATGGACCTGGAGAATGACAAGCTGCAGCTGGAAGAAAAACTGAAGAAGTAAGAGCCTGTGGTGACCAGGAGGGCTTAGGGTACAGGGTGCTGAACGTCTACTGACCACTGTCTTAGGCACCGGGGATGAGGCGGCCAATCGCCGGGGTGGTGGCTGATCCTGGTATGGTGAGACCAGAGAAGGGAGTGGGGCTGGAGGAGCGAGAACCCCCTGTCACACCCGCCCTTCTCCTCCAGGAAGGAATTTGACATTAACCAGCAGAACAGTAAGATCGAGGATGAGCAAGCGCTGGCCCTTCAGCTGCAGAAGAAACTCAAGGAAAACCAGGTGAGGTTCTTCAGGCCCAGCTAAGGGGGAGTGCTCTGATTCTTGGTGGTCCAGGCTGCCGGTGCTGCTCAAGGTTCTAGACAGGATCTCGAGCTCCAGGCATCCCTAGAGACCCACCACCCCTGACTTCCAGCCACTTGGAAACACCTGACTCCACAAGTTTATTTGAGGGGCAGAGAGAGAACCTTACTACTAAAAGGGATTCTCTTTCTGAAATACACTCTGCCTCAGGGGGGCGGGGGGATAAAGGAGCCCCATTCTCCTTGAACCCCTCCTTTGGTGACCCCCCCCCTTTGTACTGGAGTGAGAATAACTTTCTGGGAGCAGTGATCTTTGGAAAGAGCAGTTCATGCTCCTCCTGGATACTAACCACGACCATCAACCGGGCTGAATCTCCACAGGGCCCCAGGACATGGCGCTAACTGTGGCTCTGCTGAGCAAGGCCCTTGCATCCCAGAGCCTCAGGGTCTCTTCACAACTGTCACAGGGGCTAAGGGTACTTGCCTCACAGAGGAGTCCAAACCAGCCAAACAGACAGACAGACTCCCTGCTGTGGTGTTGATTCTGACTCACGGCAACCCTGTAGGACGGGGTGTCCATGGGTTTCCCAGAGAGTAATTCTCCTCGGGAGCAGAAAGCCTCATCTTTCTCCTGAGGGGCAGCTGGTGGTTTCCAACCGCTGACCTTGTGGCTCGCAGCCCCATGACCTTACTGTGCCACCAGGGCGCCTCACAGAGGACCAAAGGAGATAAGGCACATGAACCCATTTGTAAGTCCAATCCAGGTAGATGACATTTTTCTGTTTCTTTTTTGTCTTCGGCACGGCCTTCTCATCCCTCTGCAGGAGGAGATTAAATGGACAGCCACGATCTCCCTTTCCCTTATTGCGCTTTGAATCGTAATGTGCTTTTAGGCCCTGCTTGTCAGGTACGACAGGTGTTGTCATCCGTTTTATAGTTGCAGACGCTGCATTGCCAGGTCTGGACATCATGACCTCAGAGGCCAACAGGCTTTCAGCTGCTGAGGAGCTTGTCCTCTCATTCTCTGGGCAGGCTGTAACGAGTGTTGAGAACTGGGTGCTCTTCAACCCTGGGGACCTTGATGCAAGCTGCAAATGACATCTTAAACACAAGTCCACTCCCTGGGTCAGCTCAGAGCCTGCCTGTCTTCCGAGACCATTTCTCTTCCAATCTTCTTAGAGGTCCTTCTGGGTTTTAGCCAGAATAGTGTGTGTGTGTGTGTGTGTGTGTGTGTGTGTGTGTGTGTGTGTGTCCACACACACAGGTTCTTCTACCCTGGATCTAGGTCTGAGCCGGGGCAACCTCTTTGGGCTCTTGGACCCAGACAAACAGCTGTTATCCACATGAGCTCTTGGCAGTGGATTTATGGCTGCTCCTTGTGAAAGCCCAGCTCAAAGTTTCCTGCCCAAGCCCTTGCACACAAGTCCCAACTTCTCCATCCTGGGAACACTGGCCCTGTGGTCCTCTCTGTCCACATTGACCGGGATGCAGGGGATCCTGTCAATCTTCCCCTTTGCTGCTGGCTAGCATGATGGCAGATCAGAATGGTAGCGGGGACAGTTCCCCATAGGAGTCCAGGCCAGCACCATAAAGATTATGTAGGAGTGTGATAAAGAGGACCATACTCTGCTAGCCCTCACTGGGGCTGGGAGAGAAACCAGCCCTGGGAATCCATCGAGCAAGCCCTGCAGGATAAGAAATATGATTGATTGTGCTTTTTCCTTCCAAGTGAAATTTAGGAGAGTGTAGTAATCATTCAATTGATTCAAAAGGCATGTTCTTGCAAGCACTTGTAAGATACTGAAATCCACTTCTGTTTCTTTTTCTTTTTGCCTTCTGGATGTCAGACAGAGTCTAGTGAATCTTTGGGATCTCTGAGACGCAGGCTCTCCCAAGATCTCAGGATCTTCCTCTGAATGCAGGTCCTTAGAATTCAGGACATCAGGTGCTCAGACAGTCTGAACTGACCTTGGACAGAGCCTGGGACATTTAGCTTTGACCAGATCTCTACTAATGGCAGATTTTGCCCTGGTCACGGAGGGGTCTACGTGTTGTGCTGCTAATCCCAAGACCAGCTCTGAAACCACCAGCTGCTCCACAAGAGAATGACAAGGCTTTGACTCCCATAAAAGATGTAGGGGGTTGGAAACCCCCTGGGGCAGTTCTGCTCTGCCTTACAGGGGAGCTCTGAGTCAGAATCCACTGTGGTTTGGATTCCTCCCAAGAGGCAGGTCCAGGGGAGTCCTGGATAATTAGGGTCCTAGTCTTGTTAAGGGTATCATGTGTTATCCCCTGGATAATCAACGCAGAAGATGCTATAGGTAAGCATGGGCAGTTGTGCGATTTTCCTCTAGAAAATGATTTCTCTTCTTATTCAAAGAGCACTTTCTTTTATGCCTGTGTGTGAGAGAATGAGACCGTTTTCTATGTCCTTGGCAGCTCCTCCGTCCCAGGCTCTGCTCTGTGGATTCTTTGCCATCAAGATCTTTTAGTAAGCCTTGACCTCGATGGGTTCAGTTTTGCTGGGAGAAGATGGGGGAACCAGCCCCCTGCATTTTTTTAAAGATAATTTTATTTTTAAAAACATTTTATTGGGGGCTCATACAATGCCCATCACAATCCACACATCCACCCATTGTGTCAAGCACATCTGTACACCAGCTGCCATCTTCAGCCCCCTGCGTTCTGATTCAGACCCCCCAGGTCTTGTGTTGCATGTGAGGGCTGAAGGTGAAGCTTTTAGAGCAGGGCCTCTCAGCCTCAGCACTACCGCTGTTCCTTGACCCATTAGTACAGCGGTTCTCAACTTGGGGGTCGAGACCCCTTTGGAGGTTGAATGACCTTTTCACAGGGGTCGGTGGATTCATAACAGTAGCAAAATGACAGTTATAAGTAGCAATGAAAATAATTTTATGTTTGGGGGGGTCAC